ATCGGCGTAGGCTAGCCCCTAATCCAGTTCCCCCCTACCCACCAGTACCGAATCCAGACCCCCCCCCGTCCCCGCAGGCAACCGCGCCGCCTCGCCAGAGGCCGACGGGGAGGGCGCCAAGCCGACTATGGTGGACATGAAGGCGCTGGAGAAGGTCGCGCCCCTCCCCCTATCTCCCCCTATCTCCCCCATATCTCGAGGACCTGCGGCTGCCAGTCGACAAGCATCTCCCCCTATCTCCCCCTATCTCCCCCTATCTCCCCCTATCTCCCCCTATCTCCCCCTATCTCCCCCTATCTCCCCCATATCCGCCGACGGGTTGAGGGGGGCGAGCGGACGGCGGACTAGGGGAGTACACCTCTTCCATGAGTGAGTGGTAGGTCGCCTCGCCGCCGACGCCGAAGGGGCAGCGCGCCTCGAAGGGCGTCAAGGTGCCGAGAGAGGGGGAGGGGTGGCCGAGAGAGGGGGAGAGAGGGGGGGGAGAGCGCGCCTCGAAGGGCGTCAAGGTGCCGCTGCACGCGAGGGCCCTCCCTTCCCTTCCCCTCTCGCACAGACGCGTCCTCTCACAATGACTGATGCATCCATTGACCGCCCTGCCTGCTCTTCCGGCGAGGTGGTGCCACTGCACGACGGCCCGAGCGAGTCGGTCGCCGACGTGCAGGTACTCTCGGGGAATCTCGGGGAATCTCGGGGAATCTCGGGGAATCTCGGGTGTTGAGCGAGTCGGACGCCGACGTGCAGCCGGCGCTCCACATGCTGCTAGACCTCCCCCTATCTCGGCTCGATCTCCCCCATCTCTCGCTAGACCTCCCCCTATCTCGGCTCGATCTCCCCCATCTCTCGCGCAGGCCAAGCTCAACATGCTAACGGCGCACAATGAGGAGCTGAGTGGGAGGCACGCACCGCCTAGACGCGGAAGATCTCCCCCTCTCTCCCCCCCGTCTCTCCCCGCACCTGGCAGCACGCACCGCCTAGACGCGGAAGATCTCCCCCTCTCTCCCCCCCGTCTCTCCCCGCACCTGGCAGCACGGCGCCTAGACGCGGAAGATCTCCCCCTCCCTCTCCCCCCGTATCTCCCCGTATCTCGGGCCCAGACGCTAGAGACGCCGTCTGGTCTCCAAGCCCGCCCTCGAGAGAGACACGCACGCAAACTGTACTCGACCGTACTTACTCCGCTGCAGTGTTCGCACCCCCCGTTAGCCACGCGCCGCTCTGAGGACACGCTGCACAACACCGCACACCCCCCGCCCTGAGGCTGGCGTACCCACTTCGCAGGCTGCCCATCTCTGCCCATCTCTCCCCATCTCTCCCCACCTCTCCCCACCTCTCCCCATCCCCATCTCTCCCCATCTCTCCCCATCTCTCCCCATCTCTCCCCACCTCTCCCCATCTCTCCCCATCTCTCCCCACCTCTCCCCACCTCTCCCCATCTCTCCCCATCTCTCCCCACCTCTCCCCACCTCTCCCCATCTCTCCCCATCTCTCCCCACCTCTCCCCATCTCTCCCCATCTCTCCCCATCTCTCCCCACCTCTCGCAGGCAAGCGACCGTGCCGGAGCTCGACAAGCTGCTCGCAAAGATCGGCGAGCTCGGCTGCCCCCCGATGCGCCAGTTCTCGCTGACGAACCGCACGTCCGTCATCAAGGAGCGCCTGTCTCTCCCCATCTCTCCCCCCCCCCCATCTTGGCTATACCTCCCCCATATCGCGCACTATCTCGGCTATACCTCCCCCATATCTCGCCTGGCGAGCCGCACCCCAGGCAAGGAGCACACAGCCGAGAGAGAGAGCGGCGGGGGAGAGCGGCGCCTCTTCACACCCTCCGACCGAGCGCTGTTCACACCCTCCGACCGAGCGCTGTTCACACCCTCCGACCGAGCGCTGTTCACACCCTCCGACCGACCGAGCGCTGCTTTTCGCACGGCAGGAGCGCATCAAGGACCTCGAGGCGCTCGGCACCGAGTCGGAGCAGCGGCTGCGCGAGGAGTACGCGCACCAGCAAAAGATGGACGAGATGCGGCTCGTGTTCGCCAAGAAGGCGGAGGCGCTCAACCGCGCGATGGAGGAGCGCGTCGACACCTTCAGCGAGATCTTTGTGGTCGACACCGTCGCCGAGGCCGAGCAGCAGGCTCTCCCCTCCCCCCCCCCAGGGCCGATTGTAGGCGTGTGGTGTGGGATGTCCCTCGACCCCCGCTGCGCCGATGGCGAAGACAGCTGTAGTAAGTTTTACA